TTCTAGTTATTCCTTAACAAATTTATGAATTCAGCATGAATGTTGGTTGAAAATAATGAAATATTGAAGAGGAAAAAAAAAAGAAAAAAGAGAGAAGCCCTAACCTAACAAGAAGGACCCTCTGGTTATTGTCAAATTGGAAATGTAGTTGGTCCAACCGTATTCACAAGTCTCTCATCCCCTCTATCTCAAGTCTCAATCGCCAAATCTACAAGCCAAATTCCAATGATTTATAAGAATTTAAAATTGTCTCTGGCCCACAAAAACGTAGTAGAAATTGTTATGATCACTTGCTTATTATCTCCAAGGTGACATTAGGTTAGATATTTCAAAGTTCTAAAGTTCCATCATGGGAAATCTCTGAGCTCAATGGAGTGAAATTTTCTCTGGTGCAGTTTGATTACCACAATGCTAATTTGATTATGCCTTAGAACAAGTGTAAGCCTGAATGGAAACAAAACCACGCTACAAATTAAACTATGCAGGTTTTTGTGAAATTGTTTTGTGGAATACGTGACATTTGGTTCACTAAATGAAATAAAGCAGGAACGTGATAACTATTTATGGAAAATTACTCATTCAATCATAAATCCATTGTACAAATATCAATTCAATCCCAAACGTTTTAGTTTTGCCAATTTAATCCTAAAACTTTGCGTGAAATTCTAATGTGGTCCTTCTGGTCATTTTTTGTGGGAAATTCCAATCTGGCGGTTAAGTCATTATTGGTCGTCCTACATGACATACCGCCATATCAGCGATTTTCGGCGAAAATTAATTGGAAGGATTACATTGGAACTTTGAATTGACAAAATTGAGAAGTCGAGGATTGAATTAACATTCGTAAAATAGGTTTAGAACTAATTGGACAATTTCCCAAAACTATTCATAAGAATATGATAGACCAAGAATGGGAACGGAATAGTTACTCTCTAGTTTGGTTTGCACGACAGAATAGTTATTCTTGGACTCTTTGTTTGCATGTTTACAAGAATCACATTGGTTAAGTTAGGAATAAAAAAAAATAAGCCAATAATATCCACAGATGAGGTTAAATCAAAGCTAATTTATCGGCTTATCATATTCTTAAGATTGCGAACCAGAAATGATTTTTTTTTTGGTCAGAAAACTAGAAATGATTACGATTCATAGATACTTATAATTTTTTTTACAGTAATATGTGTACTTTATTATATTTTTAGTCATAATTATAAGAGCCATATCGTTGTTAAATGATATTGGTGATTTAGATTTGTAGTTATGGTTTAGAATATACTAAATACCACTTTATTATTTGTTGTCATATTTTAGTTAACTTTACTAAAAAATATAATTATGTCATATGATATAGTAATCATTAGAGATATTTCAGCTATCTATAACTAAGACTCATGACTATGATTTAAGCTTTAATTGTCAGAAAATTAAGCTTTGAATAGAATTAGATGAAAAGTTAAATTATCAATGGATAAAAAGTTTCAAAGTCTATTGATGCAGCTTTATTGTTGATTAATGTTCCTTCAAATTTGATGATTATTCAACCCATTTGATACTCACATGAAAAACTGCTTACATAAAGAACTGGACATTATATGTTCAAAATTTTTAAAAAAAATTGTGGCTTCATTACTTGATCTCAAATAGAAGTGGCTACATTCACGTCAAAGTATCACTATGTCAATTACACCTTCAAAAAAAAATCTCAATCCTACTCCCAAATCACCACAACAAAACTAGAGAACCATGGAAGACTTTAATCTCACCAACTCTAACATTACATAGAACCAACAAACATGGATGGAAAATCCTTTTTCACTCGTGCAAGCTCCTCCTTCAAATGCCTCTTTTCGCCTTTTGAGTGTTGATTTTAGGTAGCAATGCGCTCACGTTTGATCTTGTCACGCCTCGACTGGCTTGATTAGCAAAACGCTTGATTCCTTTCAAGGAAGTTGACTATTATGTCTTGTACTCGATTTGGCATCTTTGGATTAACCCACATAAAGAAATGGCAACAACCCGTACCATTGAACTTAGCTCAACTACAAAACCTTCTTCTTGTATTTTTTCTTATTCTGCGGTGAGAGTTGGTGATTGAAAACCACAATAGCATATTACTCCAAGTTGACCTCATTAAGAGTTATGCCACTTGATTAAGACGCTGGCCCGCTAATTCTTCTACTTGCCATTCTTTGATATGGGGATTGGGGTTCCTTGTGCCAAAATTAAGGATAGCAATTCAATATGAAGCTCACTGTTTACGGAGTTTTATATTTTTGAAGGGTTTAAGACGGAGAAGCAGCGTCTTTAGAACAACTGTGGACAACTCAATTAAGTAAACGGCACCTAGGAGAGAGAAATTAATAAATAAAGCTACGTCATCATTTTCTGTCCATCAATTTAGATGGAGCTAATGAAAGAACTTTATTGCATGAATTCTTAAGTTTTAGTACTTGCTTTCATTATCTAAAGGTTTTAGGATTTAATTGCATTTTGATTACAAATTTTAAAACTTTTGGTGTACTTATACCCGCTTCCCACCCTCCCCTTGTTTGACACTTTGTGGACTGTGCCTGGCTTGACATTCTGCTATAGTAATAATATGTCGTGCCGGCATGGTTTGTTGATTATGGGTCGTGCTCGGCCCAAGGATGGCCTTGGCACGACATGATAAGCCGGCACGATGTGACCATTGCTCAATGGCTATTGAAGTAGCCATTTATAACGAACGACTACTTCAATTGCCATTGTACTTCTTTGTTTTGAATAATCTTTTCTAAAGATTACGCAAACTCATCTCACAAATAAAATTCCATTAAATATCTTATGATTTGAAAAGAAAAAAAAACATTCTTAATCTTCTCCTACTTGTTTTCAATCTCTCATTCTCACTCTTGGTATTGACTATTTCTAATATAGTGCAATTTAACATTTAAAATTCTAGGTATTCCATAACAAATTTATGAATTCAGCATGCATGTTGGTTGAAAAATAATAAAAATATTGAAGAGACAAAAAGAAGAAAGAAGCCCTAACCTAACAAGAAGGACCGGCTGGTCATCAACAAATTGGAAATGTAGTTAGCCCAACCGTATTCACAAGTCTCTTGTCCCCTCTATCTCAAGTCTCAATCGCCAATCTACAAGCTAATTTTCAATGGATTGATAAGAATTTAAAATTGTTTCCGGCCCACAAAAATATACTAGAAATTGTTATGATCACTTTCTCAACCATGAAAACAACTTGTACCATCGTACTTAGCTCAAGTTCAAAGCATCACTAATCACTAATTCAATTACACCATCAAAAAAATATATCAATCTTACTCCCCAAATCACGAAATGACAGCAACTTGTACTATCGAAATTATCTCAACCATGAAACCTTCTTCTTGTATTCTTCCTTATTCCACCGGGAGAATTGGTGATTGAAGGCCACAATAGCAGGTTACTCCAAGTTGACCATATTAAGAGTTACGCCATTTGATTAAGACGTTGGCCCCCTCATTCTTTCTTCTACTGTCCAGCCTTCGATATGGGGATTAGGTCCCTTGTGCCAAAATTTAAGGATTGCAATTCAATATGGGGCTAACTGTGTATAGAGTTTTATATTTTTGAAGGATTAAAGAGGGAGAAACGTCATCTTAATCGACGTGGACAAATTTTTAAGTAAACGGAAAAGCTGCGTTGTCATTTTTTGTTCATCAACTTGGACGGAGACTTCATTGCACGAGTGTTAAGTTTTAGGACTTCGTTGCATTATTTGAAAATTTTAGGACACAACTTCATTTTGACAATTCGACCAAAAAAAATAAAAACTTCATTTTGACAACATATTTTAAAAATTTTGACGCACTTATGCCCGCCCCCGCCCTCCCATCGTTCCGGATTGTGTGGACAGTCCTTGGCATGACCCTTATGTTATAGTAAAGGGTTGTGCCGGCGTGGTTTGTTCAGTATGGTTTGTGCTTGACCCAAGGATGGCCTTGGCACGACACGACCATTGCTCAATGGCCATTGAAGTAGCCATTTTTAAAGAACGACTACTTCAATAGCTGTTGTGCTTCTTTGTTTGATTATTCTTTTTATAAAGATTACACTAACTCATCCGACAGATAAAATTTCATCGTATATCTTACGATTTAAAAAGGAAAGACCCATTCTTAACCTTGTACTACTTGTTATCAATCTCTCATTCTCACTCTTCGATCTTCTTCCCAATTATCATCTCATTAATAACTAGTGTAATTATGATCAAAATTACTTTGGGAGAGCCGCACGGCATTTTGAATATTCGTTCATTAATTCCTCTGTTTTCGGTGCAAGGGTTCGACTTAGTTGTTCATATTAAAGGCGGGGTCGTCATTTATATCGGAACCAGGATTCATAGAGTGTGCTTTCTTGTTGCGCGACTCCAAGTGATTGCGGAACTAGAATCAATTACTTTACCACTCGATTTATTCTTTAGAATTCGTTCTTTGTTCTTTATAGGGATAATGGCACAATGATTTCTGAACTTTTATTCCAACGCGTAATGTCGCCCCCGAACTTTTTAATTTGTTGATGTGGTTTCTAAAGCTTTTGATTTATGTTCACGTCTAGTTCTTAAACTATATGGAGATGCTCAATGTTGTCCATGAATTTAAATTGAATATAAATTAATGAAATGATAACATTAAGCATCTCCATATAATTAAAAAATTTAGAGATCATATTGAATAAATTTAAAAGTTCGGGGATGACGTTTGAATAAAGTTCGGGGGTAACCTTTAAACAAATTAAAGTTACGATCGACGTTGTACGTTGGGATAAAGTTGAAAGAAATGCCATTTAAGTGTCGCTTTCCCTTACTTACATTGTCGAGCTGAACAAAGTCATAATTACATTCTAAAACTTCAAATCAAACGTCATTGTGCTCGCATTTCTATTGGAGACCCTGTTATGATCGAACTTTCGACATTAAACGAGGTTAAAAAATTGTTCAGGGCAACTCTTGAACCCTCCTCCCTCGGACCATTTGGGAAGCGGAGACAGAGAGCGTACGACGTTTGACACGGCCCGTAGGGTGGTGATTCTGCCTGCCATAGTACCGCCTGCGGAACTCCATTGACCAACCGTGCTTCAAACCCTCCTTTCTAAATCTCTCTCGTATTCCCAGACCCAAGAACGCACGGCACAACCAAAATTCAAAGTCCTCCCTTCGCTCTCTGGTCTCTACCAAGACTTCCATTCCGCTGCCCGCCTTCTCTCGTTTAAATTTCAAGAAAAGATGACATCTTTCCCGACAAGCTCACCACCCCACTTCTTGAAATCGCCTCAACATATATACGGTTCCATCTTCTCGTGCATACACAAGCGCCGTAAAGAGCTTGCACCAAGATTTGAGAGGCCCAGAAAAGGAAAAAGAAAAGAAGGGTAAAGAAATTTTGCACAAAGTTGCTGCTGAAGCAGCGAGTGTGTGAAGCGGCGTCACGAAGATGACTAAGATTTTCGTGCATTTGCTGCTTCTTGTCGCCTTCTCGGCCAATGCAGCTCTGGGAGCCACAATCGTCAAGACTTTGCCCGGTTTTGATGGTGAACTTCCCTTTATGCTCGAAACTGGGTAGGTGTTTGTTTCTTGTTCTTTTTGGTTTTCCTTCAGGATAAGTAGTGAAAATTGTGATTTGGGGTCTGTCTTGATTGTTTAGGTACATCTCTGTTGAGGATGCCGAGATGTTCTACTACTTCATTGAGACAGAGGGAAACCCTAAAGAAGACCCTCTTTTGCTCTGGTACAGTGGAGGCCCTGGTTGCTCTGCATTTAATGGCCTCATCTTTGAAAATGGTCAGTCTTTCCTCAATTATCATTTCATGATCTGTTGTGCCGGAGGGCGTTTTTTGAATGTGGGTCCACCCTAGTCACTATGGACACATTTGCGCAATCCGCATGACTATATCCACCATTCCGAGATTCAATATGGATAGCCCTCTTCTGCTAGGATTGGAAACCCTGTATTTGACCTCCCCAGAAAATCGAGTTCTTGGGTTTTATTGTAGGCAGTAGTGTTCCTGGTGGAAACTAAAATAGGATCGTGATAATGACATCATTAGCTGACTCCACCTAGTGGGATAGTATGTGATTTGTTTTTGTTGTTGTTATGATGATTGTGCAAACTTATAGATTTTCCTTCAACATATAGGGGCCATAGGGCATTTTTCTAGAATTAACTGTTAATATTCATAAGTTGGGTATTTAGTGAGAATTTTTGTTTCCAGACATGAAAATAATGTTTTTTGAATGGGGACAATGGTGGGCAGATGCTTTAGTCACTTTCCAATGTCTTCAAAGAAATTCTGTTAGGTCAAGGGATGAAAGGATGAAAGAAAATACTGGAAGTAATATGTTTTCTGGTGGGTCATGAACAAACAAATGACCTGGGTGATAGATGCAGTCGCAGTACTTAAGTTCTTGTGTGAATGAATTGGTGATAGGAAGCACCAATCGTACTTGTATGTTAATTTTTGAGGCACAGCAAATCGTAATTGTATATACTGAGCACCAAACCCAAGAGACTGATGCGTGAGACTTGTCCGTCTTGTCTTGCTCTTCTATATACAAAGACTGGTCTACAAAGTTAGTATACTTAGTCCACGTGGCAGTTTGTAACTCAAGTGGACCAGAGTCACCTCATTACTTAGTATATTGCTCTGGTGTTTAATTCTAATATACCTTGCGTTATTTTTTTAGTAGTCCTGTTTGAATTCTGTAGCCCAAAGGATCGGTTGGAGCTGATAGTTATGTGGGGCAACTAGTCTCACTTGTTGCTCCCAGTCTGAACTATAGCAAGAAGCAGTCGTATACCAAACAGTCAACTGTTTTTCCATTTACCTCACGGTTGCATATTCAGTAACAAGTCCCATCTTGTGCTTTGGTCTCTCTTAGAAGAGAAATAGCTCACTCAATATTGTTTTCGAGTTGAGAGATAATAGTCATTGCTTGGTCCCCTTCTTATGGAGCATGTGAAATTGACAACGGTTTCATGAAAGTTTCATTACCTTTATGAGAATCCCATATCGAAATTGTCGTTTTCTAGCTGTTCCAAGTTCGGGAAGTTTTATGGAGAATTGAAAATTTATGAAATGCTCAACTATACAGTAGGACCAGTATGATTGCAGAATGCCCAACGCAACCATGTTGGTTAAATTGATGCATATTATTCTTGCATATTCGGAGACGCTTTACGTTTTTCATCTATCCTCAGT